GGCCTTTGGCCAAAAACTATTAAAAAAATCAATAATCTGTTGATTCGGGCGATTGAATCATCGACCCATTGAACCGTTCAATGGTTTTTGACCGTTTTTTCATTTTTTAGTTTTTTTAATTTGTTTGTCAGAACAGGCCATTCATTCGAACTGAACGATTGCACCGTCAACTCGGAAACCGATGGCTAGAACAGTTTCATGTTCGGGTCATTTTTTAAAGTGTTGCTTGAAAAAGATTAAAACCCACTTTTAATACTTGTCAAAATACTTGTCAAATACTCATCTAACGTGCTTATATACGTTGTGCCTACTAGATCCAGTCCCGTTTGGGAGGGCTTCCCATGTTGCTCCACCCGGAGAGTCTACGAGTAATGTTTGGTAAAATACATAACGATTCCAAATTTATTTCCTTCAGCCAATGGTTTTTTCATTCAATTGGAGACTTCTCTAAGGCAGTTCAATCAAAGCTTCAATCCTTCCAAATGGGACTTTAATTAATGGTAATGATGATTTTTTTTTTCCAAATGGGACTTTAATTAATGTACCTAAATTTCTCCAGTAAAATCTATTGGTTCATTTATTTTAGGGAATGGTTGTTTGGGCTTGAATTTTATGTCTAATAATAATATCAATCATTTGATCAAGACCATTCTTCTTGCTAATAAACTCATTCACCTCTAACCCTAATAATGGTTGTTTGGAATTGAAAAGAAGACCAGACGTATTACCTACCTTTAAATAATGAGAAAGGAATCTTCCATGTCGCAAATTGATTTTTGGGTCCAAAATAATTCTACATATTCTCTTTCTATTCTCCATTTCTCTATTCACGGAATAAATTTAAACACCCAAACCAAACCCGTGTCATGTGCCGATGAACCTTGTAGTTGAGTTAGTCACTTGTAGACATGTACATGGGCTGGGTCGGGCTTGGCTTTGTATATGTATTAACAGAATATATTTAGGTTTGAGCCCGAGTTCAGCCCGACCATTAGGTCTAGGCTTTGAGCCCGAGTCCAGACAGAAATTTGAAAAATAGATTTTTTTTAATTTTTATTATTTAATATATAGTATCAAATCGGGCTTGGGCTCAATCCGGGTGTTTTTGAGAAAGCCCGAGCCCAACTTGAAAAAATCTGGGCCCGGTGCTTTAGGCGCAAGTGCACTGGCCTAAAATTATTACCAAACCTGACTTATAACGGGTCAGGCCAGCCCATTGGGCCAGCCCGTCGGGCTACCCGGCCCATGATTAGAGGTGGGCCAGCACACAGGCCTTCACGGGCTGTGCCGCCCTCCCCAGTGAAAAATTTGGGGGTTGACCCGACATGGCCCATGGCCTAGGCCCGTGCGGGCCCATGCCGTGCTACGGGCAGGGTTGGCTCGTGGACCGAGCCTTAGACCAAGTCAGGCCGTGCATCGGGCCAAAGCTATTTAAAAAAATTGACAAAAAAAACTTAAAATTTTAATTTTATATGAATTTTGTGTATAAAATTGCTTATATATAAAATAATTAAATAAGTTAGTGTAATAAAATTAAAAAAAATATTTATTTTATTAATATATTATATACTATATATTATTATATAATTATAATTTATATAATATTATATAAATATATATAAATAATATATATGGGCCATGCCACAAGCCATGGACCTAAAACCCTAAGCCCACCACGACCCGCATGATCATGTCAAGCCTGACATGGCCCACAGACCGTTGTGCTAGGCCATGCCGAGCTACAAGTGGCACGGCCCGATTTACACCTCTACCCATGAATAAGTCTACTTATAAGTAGAAATGACAAGGGGTGGTAAGGTAGCCTGCTCAGGGAGGGTTTTTATAAATTTTAAACTCTCCCTACCTCTCCAAAACTTTCCTTACAAATGAAAATACAAAATCCTCTCTAATTCTATCCTTGCTTTCAAAGGTGGGACAGGTCAGGTTGGCAAATTGGGTCCAAAACCCTCGTATAATTTCTTATTATATATATATATATATAACCAAAAAAACACGAATAAATATCAAAATTTTCAATTATTTGATTGAAACATGTAAAAAAGCACATGTATTATTAATTATCCTTCACACGAGATTCAAAGTATTATTAAATTTAACATATAATACGTAATTTTATATGCCTTACATTCTTACAACAATAATTTAATTATAACCATTATGAGTAATTTAGTAAATTTAGTGTATAGATTGGGGTTAGATTCGGCCTAATAATGTAGCTATTTATACAGGCTATAAATTCCCAAAATCCATCCTTTATAAATAATTGAAAAAACACTATGATGGCGTGTAAGATGGAAATTGCCATCCCTACTTGTTAGGATTGTCAAAGGGTTGGATTTACCTTAAAAAAAAGAAAAGACTAATTGAAAGGATTATGTTAATGATTTAATTATGTTCAATGGTTTTTTCTCTCAAAAAATCATTTAACCTAAAAGGTTAAGCTGTTAAGTGAGGTTCTTGAATAGGTTTTATCTTTTAATATGTTCTTTCACATGAAAGTCCACTAGTCTTGAAGCATGAACAGCACAAGCACATTCATACCTTGTGCTGAAACTTAATTAATTATAATAGGGGTGGCGAGAATCAAACACTAGACCACTTGGTCAAAGTGGCTCTGATTTGTCTTCCATTTCATTCAGCAACAAAGSTAATGTGAAGATCAAATCTGCACYCAACAAAAGCCCCACATGCACATCTCTGCGTGAATTGGGAGAATCTCCTGAATGTGGTATATGCTGTGGGGGGGCAGATGTGAATTCAGTAATGTCTTGTGTACTTCCGTTACATGCGAAACGCCAATAAAAAAGAAAATTAAAATGGCTGATGTGGATGTGATARTTGCATCGGCACTGACAGGTGGCAAATTTGGAGGATCCCTTCGTAGCCAATTAGGATTAGACACATTACCTTCCACCTGRCAAAAAAATGAATTGAGTTGGAAGTCTCACATCATCCCATGTTCTCAACTCAACATCCTGCCTTTAAAACAGTTCACATCTGCACCCCACAGAAGGTGTCTCACAAACGCCTCACAACACATCTCAGCGTGCACTAGAAACATCTACCGTTGGAATGTGCTGTGGGGGCGTTTGTGGGGCACAGATGTGAATTCCCTTTAGTATACATCTCACTTTTTCATATTTYTTTTAGGATGTTASYGGGCTGGCTAGTGGATTGGATTAAGTGGTAAACCCGCACTGACCCGATCCTGATCGTGTTGAGTTAGGGTCTGACAGGTTCTGATCAGTTTTGAGTTCACATCTGCGTCCCAAGGGCGCCTCACATGCACATCAGCGTGCATTTGGAATATGTGATGAAGTTGTCATTTTGAGATGTTCTCTATGCGCACGGATGGAAATGTGGAATGTGCTATGGGGGAGACCWGATCTGCTCGTCAGAGGCGCTTTACTTGCACATCCTATCATCTATSGGAAACATCTTCCGTATTTATTAATTATAATTCATGGAAGCCGTTCCTAATGCTAAGGTGCCCATTTGTAAGGAACAGATCTCATCACTCTGTGGGGCGCATTCTGTAGAGCATGCATGTGAATTCATCAGTTCTAAATTCTMTGTGTTGTCATGTTGGTAGATCTGGCAATTGGGTTGGGTGGGTTGAGTTCGGGTTGGGTCAAGGTACTTTGGGTTGATTTTGGRTTGGGTTGTCAAATGCTAGACCCCGATCTTAAATGTTTGGGTTAGGATAGACCCATGGGTCAATTCAGGTCATTCCAAAAAATAATTGAAATTTAAAAAATAAAGAAAATTACATGAATAAAAACTTCTAAATATAAAATAAAAAACTTGAACATTTAACAATTTAAAAAGTAAAATAAAAAATAAAGAATAAAAACTTCTAACAATGCATAAATAATCCTAATTAAACTTGACAATCGCATCAATGAACATGAYCAACCCAACCCAACCCAGTTTTATTCGAGTTAGGTCAGGTCGAATCATTTTCACATTCGGATATTTGACTCTAACCCTGTTTTCTYAGGTATACATGTTGGTTCAGGTTCTAATTGAGGTACCCGTTGATATTACAGCAATGAAATGCGATTGTATGTAGTAGGATGAAAATGTTTTACATGTATGGCTGCGATTATGGCAGGAGATCCCGAACTCATTAAATGCTWGGTTCAGAAAAGCTTCGTGTTTGGACTTCGGAATCGAGTTGAGTAAACCCATGTCAAAAATAACTCATTGGCACCCTAATAATTTTGCCACGTGGGAAAAAGAGTTGCCCTCAGACAGTAACTCAAGAGAGATAAGGTGAAGTAGGGTCCAACATAATTGATATCCAAGTGGTTACGGGTCAGAGATGCTTCATGTTCGGACTTCGGATACGGGTTAAGTAAACCCATGCCATCCACAACCCATTGGCACCCTAATAGTTTTGCCATGTGGCAAAAGATGGAGATAGAATAACATGGGGAAAGAGTTGCCTCAGACTCCAGAGATCGATAAGGTGAAGTAGGGTCCAACATAATTGATATCCATATGGTTTCGGGTCAGAAATGCTTCATTTCGGACTTCGGATCCAACCACAAGGTCCACAACCATTATAGTATCCCTAATAATTTCGCCACGTGGCAAATAATGGAGATTGATGTGGGAAAAGACTCCAGACTCCCAGTGAGAGAGATTGAATGAGGTAGCCAGGTAGGGCCCGGCATAATTGAAATCCCACAACTCCACAAGTGGTAAACTCGGAAGTCGGAACCACACGTGGCAGAGCAAGGAAGAGAGATAAATGATAAATCTGAAGATTGATGTGTTGAGCAGCAACTCCAACCTTTTTTTTGCAGTTGGCGCTGCCCTTGACTCATGTACTTGTGTCTTTATTGCGGTCTCTGTTTTTCTCTCTTTCACCCCGTTAAAATTCGCAATCCGTACACAATTCTGTGAATTTTATTTATTTTTATTAATATTTTCTTCTTAACAGGATATACGTCGAGATGGTGATTGGTGTGGTGTGGCCGTGTGTGGGCTCTCTCTCCCTCTCTCCCTCTCTCTCTCTCTCTCTCTCTCGGAGTGTCGGTGGGGGGTTTGGTTGAGCTCGTTAGCTGTTCTGTCCATTTCTTCGTTCAATTATTATATTGCAGTGAGGGAAAGGGAGATAGAAGACTAGAGAGAGTGCTCGTAGAAGAGGCGAGAGGGAGGCAGAAAAGGGGACCTTACTCCTGAAGCCGCTCGCGGGCTCGATTTCTTCGTCCCACGGTAGTCTGTCGGATATTGTTGCTGGCTTTCAGGTGCTGCTTCGAGTTTTCTCTTCTTCTGGAGGTTTTCGCGTGAGATTTCTAGAGCCTTGATCAATTTTGGCGCGAAAAATAAATGTTTTTTTTTTTTTTGTCTTTCTGATTTTAGAGAATTATAGCGGATTTCGAAGACATTCTATTTGTTTCTCCAATGAATTGTACTGAGAAGTGAAGTGTGGGTGACTAGCGAGCTCTTCTTCTTTTTTTTCTTCTCCGAATAATTGTGTGTATGCGAAAGAAGATATGTTCAAATGGAGAAGTTGATTCTGTTGGTCTCTTTTTTTTCAGGMGGTGAATTTAGATCTGAGGTTTTGTGAAGTCTGTTTTCTTCAAAGTGGAAGAGTGAAAAAGCAGATTCTTTGCTGCATTTGGTGTGGCATAGCTTTTTCTGAACGTGCTGATGGGCCAAAGATCTCGGTGAAGTTGAAGCCACGTTTTACTTTATCTTGCACGTTTGAGTAGACCGAAGCAGACACCAATGGAGTCGGAAGGAGCAGCAGCGGTTAGTATTGGAATCATTTTCCTCTAATCCTCTCCAGTTACTGATAAAGTTCATTTTGTGCTTATGACTCTATTTTGTCCAACCAAAATGTTCGTTATTTTGTCTTACTGGTGATTTTGTTAAAATTCCTCTTCAATTGTCACTTCTTCATCTGGGTTTGTTAATATTTCTATACTTGCTCGGGTTACCAGATTGAGTGGCTTGATTTGTTCAACCTATATAGTGCTTAAGAAACTAGGGGTTAAGCAGACCCTACTTAGAAAGGAAAAAGAAAGATCGATCCTAATCAGACCTTATACCAGAAATTTCTTATCTGTCTACCGACATCTTTAAAACGAGTGAGATATGATATCATCAGGAAAATATCATATAATTTGTTATATGATATGTTTCTCGTGAGTTTCTATCGACTTTAGAAACAACCTTCATTGTTTCTAGAAATCTCTTGTGAGTTTCTATCGACTTTAGGACTCCAGTTCTCTGAATTGTGTTAATTTTTTATACAGCCAAAGCCTTTGAAGCACCTTGGTGGTCAGGTATGCCAGATCTGTGGTGACAATGTTGGCACCACTGCAGATGGTGAACTCTTTGTTGCCTGTGACATCTGTTCATTTCCTGTTTGTCGGCCATGCTATGAATACGAAAGGAAAGATGGTAACCAGTCTTGCCCTCAATGCAAAACCAAATACAAGAGGCACAAAGGTCTGTTGGAAGTGAGATTTGTTCTTTGTAATGGCTGTTAATCGCTTATAAAATGAAATTAGAGACATGATGTCTTTTTGTGGTTTCCCTCTATTATTTTTAATTTAATTCCAGGAAGTCCTCCAATTCGTGGTGATGATGTAGAAGATGGTGAAAATGTTGATGTGGCTACTGATTACAATTACTCTTCGGTGAATCAAAACAATAAGCAGAAGATTGCAGAGCGCATGCTTAGTTGGCGTATGAACTATGGACGAGGAGAGGACATGGGTCCACCAAACTATGATAAAGAGCTTTCTCACAATCATATTCCCTTGCTCAGCCATGATCAGGTGGTATGCTATGTATATACTAGTCATCAACTTGTCATCATGAAAATTTTCTGTGCACTGACTTCCTTCTGTCCTTGCTTTGTCTTTAGGTTTCAGGAGAGTTGTCAGCAGCATCTCCTGAGCATCTTTCAATGGCGTCCCCTGGAGGTGGTGGCAAGCGTGTACACCCACTCCCTTATCAGTCACGTAAATATCTTCTTCTCTTTCTATGTATACGTTTTGCACGATGTTTATGTCATCTGGAAATCCCTTCAGCTTCAAGGGAATTCCTTTCTGCAGCTAATAATTCTCAAATATTTGGCAATGTAGCCTGGAAAGAGAGGGTTGATGGCTGGAAGGTGAAACAGGAGAAAAATGTGGTTCCGATGAGTACTGGCCATGCTACTTCTGAGGGCAGGGGAGCTGGAGATATTGATGCCAGCACTGATGTGCTTTTTGATGACTCATTGCTGTAAGCTCAGCTCCTCCATTATTTGAATGCCATGAGGTTTTTTGTTTGAATGTGCTTTACAAAAGGGTTGTTTGATCATGCATTTTGTGAACAACTTCTGAAGTATATGGTCATTCCTGCTCAGATCATTTTTTCAATAACATTTGCGTTCACTTGTTTTCTGATTTAAAGCTGAAAGGAGCTATTTTCATTGCTGACTTTCCAATGTAATGCAGGAACGATGAAGCGAGACAGCCTCTCTCAAGGAAGGTGTCTATTCCTTCATCTAGGATAAATCCTTATAGAATGGTCATTGTTCTACGGCTTGTTATTTTGTGCATTTTCTTGCACTACCGTATAACAAATCCTGTGCCCAATGCCTATGCCTTGTGGCTGATATCTGTGATCTGTGAGATTTGGTTTGCTATTTCTTGGATATTGGATCAGTTCCCTAAATGGTTCCCGGTGAACCGTGAGACATATCTTGACAGACTAGCTCTAAGGTAAGGCATTTATACATCTTCAATCATCTCACTGAATTGTTATATTTTCAAAAGGAATGTCATGCTATTTCTGTTTCTCTTCGTCTTTAGATTTCTAATGCAAAGGTCATATTTGTAACAGATATGACCGTGAAGGAGAGCCATCACAGCTGGCTGCTGTTGACATCTTTGTCAGTACTGTTGATCCCTTAAAAGAGCCTCCTCTTGTCACAGCAAATACCGTTCTGTCTATTCTTGCAGTTGATTATCCAGTTGACAAGGTCTCTTGTTATGTCTCCGATGATGGGGCTTCTATGTTGACATTTGAAGCTATGTCTGAAACTTCGGAATTTGCAAGAAAATGGGTTCCCTTCTGCAAGAAGTACAGCATTGAGCCACGGGCTCCAGAATGGTACTTTGCGCAAAAGATTGACTACTTGAAAGACAAAGTTCATCCATCATTTGTCAAAGATCGCAGGGCTATGAAAGTAAAAATTTGTCATTTTTGTATTTTTTTTCCTTCTTTTTCTCTTTTATGAATCATTTATGATGTTACCACTTACCACTTGTATCTGTCTTGCAGAGAGAATATGAAGAGTTCAAAGTTCGTATCAATGGGCTTGTTGCAAAGGCACAGAAGATTCCTGAAGAGGGATGGGTCATGCAAGATGGTACTCCATGGCCAGGAAATAACACCAGAGATCATCCAGGCATGATCCAGGTTAGTCCAATTGACCTTGGAGTATATGACTATCCTAAATATGACTAACATTAGTCCTGTTTTCAACATTTATGTCACCAAGGTTTCCTGATACAAGGAAAGCTTATTATAAATGTAAATATTATGCCTCCAAAATTCACGTTCTTGGAGTTGATCATTCTATGTGAAATATGCATATCTTTTTCACTGCTTCCATATTTGTCCTAATGTGGTTTGGCTTTTGACTTTGACCTGCCTTGTGATTTATTAGCAGTAACAATGTGAAGCTAAATATCTTACTCAAGCTTGAATGTATCTGAAGGTATTCTTAGGCCATAGTGGAGGACTTGATAGTGATGGTAATGAGTTGCCTCGGTTAGTCTATGTTTCTCGTGAGAAGCGTCCTGGCTTCCAACATCACAAGAAAGCTGGTGCCATGAATGCACTTGTAAGTGGTTAAATGATCACTTTGAAGCTTACTTGTATCTGAGCAAATTCAACCTCTGATGGCTAATGTTTATCCTCAATAGGTTCGTGTATCAGCAGTCCTTACAAATGGACCCTACTTGTTGAATCTTGATTGTGATCACTACATAAACAACAGCAAGGCTCTGCGGGAAGCTATGTGTTTTCTTATGGATCCAAATCTTGGAAAATCAGTTTGTTATGTCCAATTTCCACAAAGGTTTGATGGTATTGATAAGAATGACCGATATGCCAACCGTAATACTGTTTTCTTTGATGTAAGTGCCAATTATCCCTTGGAAAATTATTGTCTCACTTTTGTTTTCTCTTTTATGTTGTTACTAAATGGTATCATGTTTGTGTTTGTTGTGGAAATATCCAATCTATCTCTTTGTGACTCTTGACATTTAAATTCTTCAAAAAAGTAGTCAGCCTTATATTGTCAGATTTCATAATTTGTTCTTTCTGTGGATTTAGATAAACTTAAGAGGTTTGGATGGCATCCAAGGCCCTGTATATGTGGGTACAGGATGTGTCTTCAACAGAACAGCTCTATACGGTTATGAGCCTCCTCATAAGCTGAAGCATAAAAAACCAGGTCTGTTCTCTTCTTGCTGTAGTGGGTCACGAAAGAAGAGTTCAAAATCAAGTAAAAAGGGCTCAGATAAAAAGAAATCAAGCAAGCATGTGGATCCTACTGTGCCAATATTCAATTTAGAAGATATTGAAGAGGGTGTTGAAGGTATGGTTGTTAATGATTTGATATTTTTGCCTGACCAAATTTACCTTGTGCACAAACAAGCTATTAAGTCAATTAGAATATACTGACTTGGAGCAATGTTCTGAAAATCATAATCATATTGTAAATCGTAAGATTATTTCTATTTTTATAAACTTGTCAAAAATTAAATATATGTATGCTAAAATACTATACATATATAGAAAGTGTTATTTTAAGTTATATCTACCATATACGTACCTAAAACAATAGAACCTACCACTTATACAATAGAAGTCTAAGATGATATAATCGAGTTTGACTTGAAAGTCAAATAATCCTCATATAATGGCTCTTTATCCAACACATGACAGAAAATAATAAACTCAATATATAGACAAAGTAGAGAACTACTTCTTAAWTGAATTGATTTGAATCACAATGAATCGCACAAATCATATAAATCGTAAGATTTATGAATCAAATTGTAAAAATTTTGCAGAAAATGATTCAGACATAAGATTAATTGAAACCCATGGGATTCATTATTCAAATCGTGAATTTGTAAATTGTAAGATTTTAACAACATTGACTTGGAGTACTATTTCTTGAATTCATTAGACATTTTAAGAACTTTTGGTTGAGGAAATTCTTGTATTTTCATTTATTGAAGGATACAAGAAATGGTGATATGCTCTATGATGATTTTGTCCCCTTAAAGAATTGGTTCTTTCTATCCCTAGGGATATTTCTTCAAAAGAATGGAATTTCCAATGCTGGAAGAGGCTTATATGAAAAAGTAATTCTTTTCATTTCATAATGCTCTGCAGCATTTGGATCTCCATTGATATTTATTGCCATTTTTTTAACATGGTTTATCTCTTTTTGAGTTTTTCTTTACCAGTGGCACTTTGAGATGCCTTGTATGTACAAGATGTGAAATTCAAGTTTAATTTTGAGCAGTTAATTTATTTTAGGCTTAGCTAAGATTTTATCTCACTAGGTACCCTTTTGTTTCAGCATACTTAAGGCCATAGTCCAATGTCTGTTTCAGCATATTTATGGTATAGATTTACATAACACTGTCATTGATTATAATAAAAACCCAGACAAGACAAATTGAGCAAAATCTTTGTATTAGGTGCCTGACTGATCTTCTTTTTCTTATCTCTCAAAATAGGTGCTGGGTTTGATGATGAGAAGTCGCTGCTGATGTCACAGATGAGCCTGGAGAAAAGATTTGGTCAGTCGGCTGTATTTGTTGCCTCCACTCTTATGGAAAATGGTGGCGTGCCACAGTCTGCTACTCCTGAAAATCTCCTCAAAGAAGCTATCCATGTTATCAGCTGTGGGTACGAAGACAAAACAGATTGGGGTAGTGAGGTATGTCTGCTCGTGCTCTCACTTCATTAATTGGTTTTCTTATTGAACTACAAGATGCCACCTAAACTTAAGAATTAGAAGAATATTGTTCACTTTATTTATCAATTAGAGCCATGAATGTAATGCTTAGACTGGCTCAGGGCTATCGCACTCTAGATTGGGCTCCAATTTGGATCATCTGTTATCTTTACCAGATTAGTCCTATTTAGTTCCAAATGTTGCAAGAGCTCTTCCAAAGCCAATGCACCAGAATAATGAGGAAGAAAAGAAATTAGCAATCAAGTGTTAAGTTTGGCTGTGTACTCTATGTAATGGAAATACTTGTAAGTATATAAAGTCCAATTAATCTGAGTGAGCTTGGACCCTGGACCTCATCATCAGCAAAATTGCTGAACTAAGCTAGCATTGATTAGAAAAGACAAGATATGATTTCCGTTCCTTTTTCACTCCATGCCTTATTCTGGCATTTTGATTACAAATGCCAAAGTATACCATATTTAATTGCTTCACTTGGGTTATATTTAATGTAAACAAGATTTCCAGTTATGATGGTTTTGTAACCAGCCAACCTTTCATTTCTGTAAAAAGCTGGAAGAAAGAAAATCTTAATAGGCTCAGGAATGCATATAGGGCCCGCTGGCTCGCACAACTCAGAGAACCTGCTTTGTCTGTGTGTTTGTGGTTAAAAACAATATGTACACATGTATTGATGTATCAATGCTTTTGTCTTCCAGGGATGTATCAACATCCCTGGAAGAACCTTAAATATTTTTGTCTCACATCTAATTGATATTTTAATTTTATCTTACTCTCCATCCCCCTCTCTGTGCAGATAGGATGGATTTATGGCTCTGTTACAGAAGATATCCTTACAGGATTCAAGATGCATGCTCGTGGTTGGCGATCAATATACTGCATGCCAAATCCCCCAGCCTTCAAAGGGTCTGCACCTATTAACCTTTCAGATCGTCTGAACCAAGTGCTTCGATGGGCTCTTGGTTCTGTTGAAATTCTTCTAAGTCGACATTGCCCCATATGGTATGGTTATGGTGGAAGGCTGAAATGGCTGGAGAGATTCGCTTACATCAACACCACCATTTACCCAGTCACAGCCGTTCCTCTTCTTGCATATTGTACATTACCAGCCGTCTGTCTTCTTACTGGAAAGTTTATTATTCCACAGGTTGCTACCACTCTGAAAACATTTGTTTCTAGTTAATAGTTTTGATCTCAAGTGCGTGGAATTTCATTGGATCTTATTGAGTGACTTGGCATCTTTTGATTGCAGATTAGCAACTTTGCTAGTATTTGGTTTATATCACTCTTCCTTTCAATCTTTGCTACTGGTATATTGGAGATGAGATGGAGCGGTGTCGGAATTGATGAATGGTGGAGAAATGAACAGTTTTGGGTTATTGGAGGTGTATCTGCCCATCTCTTTGCTGTCTTCCAAGGCCTGCTAAAAGTTCTGGCTGGGATTGATACCAACTTCACCGTCACTTCCAAGGCTTCAGATGAGGAAGGTGATTTTGCTGAGCTCTACATGTTTAAATGGACAACATTGCTCATCCCACCGACCACTCTTCTCATAATCAATCTGGTGGGTGTGGTGGCTGGGATATCCTATGCAATCAACAGTGGATACCAGTCCTGGGGTCCCCTCTTTGGTAAGCTATTTTTTGCCTTCTGGGTGATTGTCCACCTTTATCCATTCCTTAAAGGGCTGATGGGACGACAGAACCGGACTCCCACCATCGTTGTCGTATGGTCCATTCTCCTTGCTTCCATCTTCTCATTGCTATGGGTACGGATTGATCCTTTCACCACTAGGGTGACTGGTCCTGATGTTCAACAATGTGGAATCAACTGCTAGAGGGAGATCAGAGATATGAAAAAAAAAATCTGGTCTGTTGTAGCCTTGTAGGCTTTTTTGTTTTCTTATGTTTTTGGCTGTACCAATCTATTGGTTTCAGAATCTACAGTGTGTATAGATAGGAAAAGAAACAGGGACATGTCTGATGCCATTCTGTTGTTCCATGAGTTGTTTCATAAGTTATTATTACTTTATTTTTGCTCAATGAATGAACACTGTAAATATGAGATGATGCATTAGTGTGCCCAAGGTAGCCACCGTGAGATGAGACCATTGGGTTTCTAGGTAGGATTGTCCAATCAGAGTGACATTGGTGATTCCACGAAATATAACTCACAAAACATCCTTCACAATGTTATCCATCCTGCAGATGGAGTGCACGCCTTGATTTCTTCTTAATTCTTCACAGAAAGCTCTTATTTGTGATAGTAATCGGTAATCTGTGCAGAATGGATCAACTTGCATGGAAGTCCTTTCTCATGGGATATAAATTATCAGATTTAAGGCTGTAAACGGATCAAATAGATTTGGGTATGGGTAAGATCCAAATTTTATTCGTTTTATCCCGTTGATATTGATTACTATTAATTAATTAAAGTGAAAATGATTAAAAGATTATATATATATATATATATATATATATATATATATATTATTAATAAAATGAACTAAAATGACTTTGTTAATGTGTTTCATAAGAAACTTGAACGTTCAGTAAAAGCACAATATTCAAAATTTCTAACCAACTTTACTAATCTATTCATGCGATTCACGGGATTTATGAAGGAAAGTGAAATAATTAAAACTTATTTATAAGTTATAACTGCAGAGTTGTTTAAAATAATTAAATTTTTATTTTAATAATTTGTTACAAAAATATTTTATTAATTTAGTAATTTGGATTAATTATACTAATATTTTTTAATAAAAATAATAAATTATTATTAATTAGTTAATAAAGTAACCATTTCTTCCATATCATTTGTTAGTGTTTTATTTTTTTTATTTTACTTTATTAATGATTAAATGTTTCAATTTTTTGTAAATATCATTTAAATATTTAAATTATTTAAAGATTAGTAAACATATAAAATTAGGCTATAGTCATAATTAAATTAATCTAAGCCCAAACTTTAGGTTTAAGACTTTGGGTTAGTCTTGGATTGATCCTCATCTTGACCCAACCCACCTAAGCTACACAAATTGTAACATTCGTAAATGGGTTGAACCAAATCGAGTGCAACCCATACATGCATTATTTATAGGGTTTGTTTAACTATATTTAGATAATATTGAGCCAAAGGAGCTATGAAGGATGGGCTACCCCATTGTGTAGCCCAATGAAAATTTTGATAATGTATTAGCAAGTTTTTAAGGTTGCTTGGCCTATCCCAGCCTACACCTTAAGTGTAATAATATTTGTTTTGTGCTTGCTTGTGTTAATTATAAAACTATTTTTTTATAAATTAAAATTTTTACTTACTTATAGTCTAGTATAAAAAATATATATAACATTTATATATATATTAATATAAAATTTGCTATGTAACCATATATGCATATAACTTTCAAGTTGAGTTTTTTAGGCTTAACTTGGGCCCCATTTGCCAGAGCTCTCATTAGACTTTGAAAGTTCGATACCCAATTAGACTTTGAATCCGATTATCTCAAATTTGGGTGTTAGAACTTACATCTAGTTAATAATTTGATTGGGTGTGGATTTAACCCCATCCAATTTGATTAAAATCCATGTCTAAAAAAATATTATTTTATATATGTAGTATAATTACTGTATACTCATAGATATTATGTGTAATTATACATATATGCATTTGTACTTTAAAATTCAAAATAAAAAAATAATAAAAATCATGTGAATGCAGATCTAGAAATTTCATTATCAGAAGTTGATTAGAAATCTGATTAGTTGGGTTTGATTTGAATCTAATCAGATTACAACCCTATTACCCATACTATGTGTGGGCTTTGTGCATATTTGAGCTAAACTTAACTCAAAAGAAAATAGTTGTTTGAGCATGGAAATTTTTAAATCTAATTAGGTTAGGCTAAGTTATAAATGATTTGTTACTTTTTATTATTAATTTTAACTATCCTACCAATACCAATTTTTATTAATTTATTAATTTTTAATAATTGTTAAATAAAAGCTGCTAAAATTTAATATTTTTTTATTAACTTTAGTAATTTTTAATTTTATAGCCCTATTGCCCACATTATGTGTGGGCTTGGTGTAGAGCTAGACCTAGCTTAGAAGAAAATATTTAGATTGTGTATGCCCTTAGCTCCGATCAGATTAATGTACAGGTACATTTATTGTAAATAAATAAAAGCACATTATTGTTTTCATGCTAATATTGACATGTTTCTATGTATTTACCCCTTAAACTAAACACTTACGAGACTCGTATTAGTTTAGAATGTTCTGAGCCATTGAATAGACTTGGGAAGTTTATCCTGTCAATGCTGACACTGATGTATTGCCAAAAAAATTGGGGCAGCTTTTCTTAATTGATAGGGTTAGACCCAAAGCACATGTAATGTGTGTTTGGATGAAACATTGAACATTGACCATTTTCCAGTTATGCCCCAGACCTTGGAGATTGATGTGCAAAATTAGAAAGTTACACACAACTCCAGGCTTGATTATGGTATTGTACTAGATTGGATTGGACTGCATTTGATATGCCAATCAGTGAGATCATTCAATGGTCAAAACTTGAGTATGTTGGGGCAGTTTGAGAATTCGACTGAGAGGGTGATCATAGTGATAGGATCCACCCCTTTTTTGAACAAAGTGAATGATAGGGTTTACACTCTTTCTAACGGAAACTTAAACTGTCGATAGTGAATTTCAATTGTGTTTAAAATACATTGCACCTTGCAGAAAAGGGATAAATCATTCCCTATCGGGCAGTGTTTGATCATTATGAGCCAAGAGGTTAAGTTTAAGAGACCATTACAAGGTTGATTACCTGATGGGCTTTATCTTATTTAAGTTCATTATCATTGTATCTTCATAKGATGGTTGAATTCAAAGATCATTTAGGTATAAATGTTGGGCCTATATTGAGACCATAGTGATGTGCTTAGGGGTTCATTGCGTTTAGTAGTGAATTTGACCAAGCCTTTTTACAAAAGCTAGGCCGAACCCATGTGGACTTATATGAGGTCATTGTAGGGTTCCACACCATACAAATCAGGCTTATGTTGGCCGTGCAACATCTTGGGTCATGAGCTTTTGAAGTAAATGGGCCTAAAGCCCATAATTAATAAGATTAAGAAAGTTGCCACATTATCATGTGCTCTGAGTCAAATCTAGGTTTTGAAATGGGTATGGAGCACCCATTCTATTAAGAGGACAAGGCTTATCTAGAGTCCATATCCAAATTAGATTTAGATAATTTCTTAATTTGATTAGGAGAGTGATTCATAAGGAGATAAAAGAAGAAGAGGGCAAACTAGACTAGAACACCACTATCTCTTGTTCTCTTTTCTTCTCTTTTGTCTTCCAAGAAACCCTATCACAACCTAGACTTTCAAGAACTAATTTAAATCTATTTTATTCTTTGTTTTTACAAGAAAAACTTAGAAGAAAATCAGGTTCACTTACCTCATCCAATTCAAGCAAGTTGGATCACAGTTTTGTTGAAAACAATGTTGTTAAATCAGCTTCACCTAYACACTATGCAATCTTTAGTGGAGGCTGGTTTTAGGACTGATTTGGGCGTAAACTTTCACATTGGAATCTACATCTATGGAATTCATATAAGGTATATATCTCCCT